CAAGGTATCACTATTTGCACCTAAATGATAGTATACACAAACAACCCAAAAATTCTACTAGGAAATTCCTACAGCTGATAAATACTTTTAGTGAAGTAGCTAGATACTAGATTAATTGAAAAACAGCAGTAGCCCTCTTATATACAAATGATAAAACAGCCAAAAAAAGATCAGGGAAACAGCACTCTTCACAGTAGCCACAAACAATATAAAATATCTTGGGATAACTCTGACCAAGCAAGTGAAAAACCTGTATGACAAGAACTTTAAGTCTTTGAAGAAAGAAATTGGAGAAGATTTCAAAAGATGGAAATATCTACCATGCTCATGGATTGGTTGGATTAACATAGTAAAAGTGGCCATTCTACCAAAAGCAATCTACAAATTCAATGCAATTCCCATCAAAATTCCAACACAATTTTTTACAGATCTTGAAAGAACAATCTTCAACTTTATATGGAAAAAAAACATGATTGCTAAAACTATCCTCTACAACTGCCAGAGAGGTATCATCAACCCTAATCTCAATCTCAACTAAAAAGCAATAGTGATTTTTTAAAAAAAGCATAGTATTAGCATTAAAAAAGACAGACGGATCAATGGAATCAAATAGAAGACCCAGACACAAATCCACACACTTATAGACACTTAATTTTTTGACAAAGAAGCTAAAACTATAAAATGGAGAAAAGAAAGCATCTTCAACAGTGCTGACATAACTGAATGTTGTCATGTAGAAGAATGCAAATAGATGCATATCTGTCATCCTGTACAAAACTCAAGTCCAAGAGGATCGAAGACTTAAATATAAAGCCAGTTACACTGAACCTGAAAGTGGGAATAACCTTGAACACCTTTGCACAGGAGGCAACTTCCTGAATAGAACACCAATGCCACAGACCCTAAGATCAACGATTAATAAATGGGACCTCATGAAACTAAGAAGTTTCTGTAAGGCAAAGGACACTGTCAATAAGACAAAACAGCAGCCTATAGAATGGAAAAAGATCTTCACAAACCCCACATCTGACAGAGGGCTGACCTCTAAAATATATAAAGAACTCAAGAAACTAGACATTAAAAAACTAAATAACCCAATTTAAAAATGAGATGCTGACTTGAATGCATTGGGACAGGAGACTACTTCCTAAATATAACCCCAGTAGCACAGACACTGAGAGAAACAATTAATAAATGGGGCCTCCTGAAACTGAGAAGCTTCTGTAAAGCAAAGGACATGGTCAACAAGACAAAATGACAGCCTACAAATTGGGAGAAGATCTTTATCAACCCCACATCAGACAGAGGTCAGATCTCCAAAATATACAAAGAGCTCAAAAAATTGATCATCAAAAGAACAAATAATCCATTTTTTTAAAAAATGGAGTACAGACCTAAACAGAGAACTCTCAACAGAGGAATCTAAAATGGCTGAAAGACACTTAAGGAAATGCTCAACATCCTTAGTCATCAGAGAAAAGGAAATCAAAACAACTCTGAGATTCCATCTTATACCTGTAAGAATGACCAAGATCAAAAACACTGATGACAACTTATACTGGAGGGGATGTGGGGTAAAGGGAACATTCCTGCATTGTTGGTGGGAGTGAAAGTTGGTACAGTACCTTTGGATGTCAGTATGGCAATTTCTCAGAAAATTAGGAAACAACCTTTTTCAAGACCCAGCAATACCACTTTTGGGTATCTAAAGGATGCTCAATCGTGCCACAAGGACATGTGCTCAACTATGTTCACAGCAGCATTGTTTGTCATAACCAGAACCTGGAAACAACCTAAATGTCTCTCGACCAAAGAATGGGTAAGGAAAATGTGGTACATTTACACAATGGCGTACTACATAGCAGAAAAAAATAATGACATCTTGAAATTTGTGGGCAAAAGGATGGATCTAGAAAACATCATATTGAGTGAGAAAACCCAGACACAGAAAGACAATTATCACATGTCACTCATAAGCAGTTTTTAAACATAAAGCAAAGAAAATCAGCCTACAAATCACAATCCCAGAGAACCTAGACAACAATGAGAACCCTAAGAGAGACATAAATAGATGAGGATCCTAAGAGAGACATAAATAGATCTAATCTACATGGGAAGTAGAAAAATGCAAGATCTCCTGAGTAAATTGGGAGCATGGGGACCATGGGAGAGGGTTGAAGGGGAGGGGGGAGATGCAGGGAAGGGAGCAGAGAAAAATGTAGAGCTCAATAAAAATCAATTGAAAAGAGGTCCATACGAAAAATAAAAATAAAAATGAGGTACTGACCTAAACAGAGAATTCTTAACAGAAGAATCTCAAATAGCAGAGAAATTTTTTAAAGAAATGTTTATCATCCTTAGCCATCAGGAAAATACAAATCAAAACATCTCTGAGACTCCATCTCACACCTGTCAGAATGGCTAAAAATGAAAACACAAATGACAGCTTATGCTGGAGAGGATGTGGAACAAGGAAAAGACTCCTCTTTTGCTGGTGGGAGTGTAAACTTATACAGCCACTTTGAAAACCAATATGTCTCAGGAGATTGGGAACCAATCTACATTCAGACCCAGCAATACCACTCTTGGGCATATCCCCAAAACATGCTTACACATACCACAAGGACATTTGCTCAACTATGTTTGTAGCAGTTTTGTTTGTTAATAGCCATAACTGTAGTCAAAGACTGTTCTTTTGTTTCCTGGCCATTCCAACCCGAATAATGACACAGAAACTATATTAATTACAACACTGTTGGGATTATTAGCTCAGATTTCTTAACTAACTCGTACATCTTAAAAATAACCCATGTCTATTAATCTGTGTATTTCCACGAGGCTGTGGCTCACTGGAAAGGTTCCAAATGGCAGCATCTTTCTCCTTCGGCAGCTACATGGCATCTCCTTGACTCCTCCTACTCCCTCTCTATATATCTCTTTTAAGATTTCCTGCCTGGCTTTACTCTGCTAAGCCATTGGCCAAACCAGCTTTATTCACTAACCAATGGCAATAAAACATTCACAGCATACAGAGGGGAATTCCACATTACAGAACCCTCAACCAAAGAATGGATAAATAAAAGGTGATACATTTACACAATGGAGTATTCCTCGGCTGTTAAAAATAAAGACATCGGGAAATTTGGCAGCAAATGGAGAGAACAAAAAAAATCATCCAGAGTGAGGTAGCCCAGACCCACAAAGACAAACATGGTATGCATTCACTCAGAAGTAGATAATAACTGTAAAATAAATGATACCCAAGTACCATCCACAGGCTCAGAGAGGCTGGGTAACAAGGACAATCTCCTTGGGAGGGGGAAATAGAGATCTTCTAGTTGAACTTGGGTTGGGTGGGCATGGGAACTCAAGGGTTGGGAGGTGAGTGAAGGAGAGCAGTGCTGAGAGACATGACAGTAAAGGGAGGCTTTCTGGGGAAGTCTTATGAAAGAGAAACTTCCATGTGTCTACAAGCATGGCCCCAGCTAAGACTCCTTGCAGCAGTAGATGTACAGCCTAAACTGGCCATCCCCGTGATCAGACCGCTGGCTGCCCCAGAGAGCATTCATCCAGTGACTGATGGAGGCAAATTCAGAGACCCACAGCCAAGGCCTTTTGAGCAATTATAGAGAAAGGGTGGATGGGGGACAGGGGGAAGTGGAGGAGGGAGTAGGAGAAGATGAGGAAGAGGAGGCTATAGTCTGGATGTAAAATTAATTAATTAATTAATTTAAAAATATGTATAGCTTTGAAATAACACCAAAAAATAAAGGGAGGAAGGGAGGAAGGAAGGAAGGAAGGAAGGAAGGAAGGAAGGAAGGAAGGAAGGAAGGAAGGAAGGAAGGAAGGAAGGAAGGGAAGGTTACAGATAGCCTATAATGAGGGACATTCCCCAGTCTTTCAAACTGAAATTCTTTAAGGAATTATCCCAGCCAATGACTAAGCAAGGTGGCGTGTAAAGGCCCATTTCCCTTTACTATGGAGCTTTCCCAACAGGCTATACCACTGTGTGATGATCCCCACTGTTCAATACTATCCTAGCCTTTTCTTCTCGCCAATGTAAGCCCTAATAAACCACAGCCAGCCCTAGCCTTCTGAGTGTCTTCTTCCCAGAGAATTCAACAGTCGCTGATTCCTGTACCCCACCTGTACGTCCTCCCAGCACCTTAGACTCAACTGTTAGATTGTGCCAAACCCTACTCCCCAAGGACAGCCTCTCCTATCTTCCGGGGTTCTTATCACCACGGAACCTCCCGATGTTTCTGGTCTTATCTCTTTCTTACACCCCAAACCCATCCAAGTTAGGGGGACCCTATGCAAACAATCTGGACTCCTATCTCTCCTCACTCTAACACACAAGTGTGTTTTTGCTGCGCCCCTCCTGGCTCCGAGGCAGCCTGAGCTCAGTTGGCACTCAAAGCTCATGCACAGAAGCTGGCCGGAACTCCTCATCCTGTCACTCAAGGCTCCTTATCATCCCAGAATCCCTTTCTCTTCCCTCTTCACTGTCACAGCACTGCCTGCCCTTGTTCCTGATACTCCTTTCCCAGGGAAGTCCTTTCCTCTTGCATCCTGCTGCTCCCTGTCCACGCCCTTCCCTGCTCCACTGGGGGCCTTGCTCAGACACCAGCTCCTCTGGGGGTGGGGGGTGCTCTATGCTTGTGCCACTAGATCTAACAAGGGTCCTTTCTGCCTCTCCCTGGGGGTTGGTTCATCTTGACTTGCACCTGCAGCCTTCAGGCCCCACGAACTCCAGGAAACAACCAAATTCAGCCCTGAAATTCCTCTCTTGTCACCCAGCCTCTAGTTGACACAGCCCTCTCAGCACAGAAGAGGGGGTTGGTTCCTCCTTTCTGTGAAAATCCCTGCAGAGAAATGTCCAGAACCTCTCCCCAGATGTGAAGGGGCAAGTGGGCTCCTGCGTTCTTCCCGGAGGAATCAAGCTGCTTTCCTTTGCCCTCTGTGCCACCTCATTAACCTACCTACCACCCAGCTCTCACCCCTAGAGCCAGCAGCCCATGGTGGATGCTGGCCTTGGAGGGCCCAGTGTCCTGAGGGCGAGAGAGAGACTTCTTCACGGAGCCCATGGCTCTCAGCAGCTGCTCCAGAGCCGAGTGGTGGTGGATGTGGACGTTGACATGAGGGGACGTGGGCAGTGTGGAGGCCACTTCAGCTCCATTCACTGTCACCGTGGTTTGAGTCATCTTTCCTGGTGGGGAAAACGACAGAAATGGATGAAGTACGGGAGCTAGGAAAGGTAACGGTAACGTGGAGTAATGGCGGCTCAAGGTCAAGAAGATGCCCCAAACGCAGATATCAATGTCACCGTGGCCCTTGTTTGAGAGTCAAACCACTTCTAGAGCCTTTCACCCTGCGCAGTCCTGGGCGGCTTTCCCAAAGGATTAATGGAATGTTATTGTCCGAATGTTAATGTCCTCAGAGACCATTGCCTGCTTGGTCTTGGCTGATGGTGTTGTGGGGGAAGATGGAGACTTAGGTGGGCACTGGTTGGAAGATGTCAGTCAACAGGGCTGTGCCTTTGAAGAGCATCTAAGCCCCCCCCACCCCAAATTCACTTCCCCCTCTCCTTTCCCTCCTCCCTCTCCCCACCTCTTCCTCATTCTCCTACTTCTTCCTGATCACAATGAGGTAAGCAGCCTCTACTACAAACTCCCACCACCCTGATATTCTGCCTTGCCTTGGGCCCAGAGTGATGGGCTGTCCTCAGCTCAAAATGTCTGCAACAGTAAGCCACCAAAGAAACCTATAAATCCGCCTTCCTTCAAGTTGTTTCACTCGGATGTTTATCACAGTAACATAAGGCTGCCTAACACAGCTTGACTTGGATCTTAGAGGAATGAGAAGGAGTCTGAGTTCACACACACACACACACACACACACACACACACACACACACATGCAATACCTTCTCATTAAAAAATTCAGAAGAGGGCTTAGGAGGTGACTAAGTGGATAGGAAATTGCTATATATGAGGACCAGCCTTCAGATCCCAGAACCCATGTAAAAGCTGAGCAGGCGCTACGGCTTCCTGTGACCCCAGCTCTTGGGAGGTAGAGACGGGATTCCCAGGGCAAGCTGGCCTGCTAAGCTCTGCATTTAACTAAGAGAACCCACCTCAATGAAGTGGAGATGGATCAAGGAAAACATGCAATGTCAACTTTGGGCCTCCACATGCATGATCTCACACGTATGTGCACCTTCCCACATACATTTGTGCCCATACGCATATCAACACACATGCATAACCACACTATACAAAAGTACACAAAAGTATAAATGATAAAAAATATAGTTTTAAAATCCCTCTTTTTACTTCCTCCCAGTTGCTGAGTTGCCTCCCAGATGGGAACTAACGTGACCAGTTTCTTCAGAGCCTCCAGTGCCATGTTTTGTACACAGGAGTGTGTAAAGTATTCCTTCTCTCCCTTCCTCACAAATGGCCACTTACCATACACGGCCCTGTGCAACGTGGTGCTGATGTGCTCACATAGTTTAGAATCATCCTACATCAGTACATCAAAAGCTTCCATTTGTATGACTGCATAATACTCCAGTGTGAGTGTGTGTGTGTGTGTGTGTGTGTGTGTGTGCGTGTGTGTGTGCACGTGTGCATACGTGTGTGTGAATATTTGGATAGTCTCCTATTGATAGACACTCAGGATATTTCCAATCCCTTTACATCATGACCAGGGTGGAATAATGTATTTCTAGTGGCTGTTGTCTGTCACCCTCTGCAGACGTTGTAGCAATGACCATATATATACGAGTGTCATCCAGTTCTCCCCCACACCCTGAATGTGCTAGCAATTTCTTCAGTTTTACATAAGAAAAATTGCATTCTCTTGTATGTTTTAATTTAATACAATAAATTGTTCAATTGTCATTGCTTTTCTTGAAGTTTGACAATATTTATCTTGATGAAAGCACAGCTACAATCAAGATGTGTATTGCAAAAGTTCCCTCCAGGTGTGATGGCACATACCTTTAAACCCAAACTCAGGAGGTAGAGGAAGGTAGATTTCTGTGAGTTGGAGGATACCTGATCTACATAGCAAGTTCCAGGCCAACCAAGGACACACAATGAGATCTTACCTCGGAAAATAAAAATAAAAATTCCCTAATTCTCCCTCCCCCAGTAAATCACTTTTCCACTTTGGTTTCTATAATTGTTTTGGTGTTCTTTCATAATGTGCTTGGTTGTCTTTTTATTTCTTAAAGGCATTTTTTATTCCTTCTTTTGTGAGATCTTCATTTTCATACTTCCTGATTTTTTTCATTAAAGTTCTCTGTATATTTGAAAATTTACCAACGCCAATATGCACTCACACTCACATCCACATGGACAGGTATGAACTCATTTTAAGAAGAAACGCTGATCTTTGGATCTACGTCATAATACCCGGATGTGGACCAAGGGACCCATGGTGCTGGTCCATGTATTAGCCTCTGAAGAACAGTTTCCACTGTGCTATGCATCACCTTTCTCCCACTGACTAAAAACATTGCCCTGAGTTTCCAAAGGGCCTCGGGTCCACAAGGCCTTCATATTTTGCCTACTTGAATGTTCGATGGCCTCCTTACTACTGCTACCCTTCTAACCAGCATAGAGTTGAACACATCCTGCCTGCTTCCTGGCTCTCTACTGCCACGTTCAGAGCTGCCATAGCTATTTTAGCCCCTCTGGTCAGTTGCTTAGATCCAAAAGAAATCTGCCCAGGTGGACTCTACTAAGCAATCTGAGTAAGTATCCTTTTCGACTGGGTATTGCTAAGCGCTCCAGTTCCACCGCCGATCACATTCAATTGTATTCGTCCCACACCTTGGAGCACGTCTCACCTCCACTCACCTGGGCACCTCGGAGGTGAAAGGATGGAGTCTGACAGCTCTTCAGGAGAGAGGAGGAGGCTTTGGACTTCTTCACCGAAACACAAGTGAAGGCCCCAGGGTCTCGCCTTCCCTTGAGGTTCCAGGAGTCAGGAGTGAAATCTCAGTTGTGTCTGTATGCTGACTCCCCCCAGGTCCCCAGTAGCACCACACCCTGGCCACTCAGAAACCTGTATGCTCACCGCTGCTGCCACCACCCCAGTGGCTCACGGGTATTCCTCCTCCCAGTCCCCAGGAATAGAGAAAAGAAACACCCTGTGTCTTTACTACACAGCCATCCCACCTCTGTTTAGTCTCAAAGGCCCGACTCTCTCGGTGTGCAGGGGTGAGGCTGTGGTAATTGTGGAGGCAAAGCCAGGCCCTGAGTCTCCCCCCACCACCACACCCCCCCCCACCCCGCTCCCAGCCTCAGCTGTTTCCAGAGTCACAAGCTCTGTCCAACATGTCCCTCCCTCCCTGAACTCCCACAGGAAAGGAGCCAAGAAAGAAGCAGCATCCTGGGCTAGGGTAGAGACTGAAGAGTTGCCTTGGAGAGTCCTCCAGAGAAGGGGCTCTGTGCTCCAAGAGGGGCTACCCTGGGGCTATGAAGGGCCCTGTCTCACCTGCTATCTTCTGGGAGAGGTGGGGCTGGAGCAGAGAGGTCTGGGAGGAGCTGATTTGGAGCTAATGACCCCACACAGTAGAGGAGCTGGGGGAGAGCAGGAAGAAGGCCTGGAGGGATGAGGGCCTTACCAGAGTCTCTTGGTTTCCCAGCAAGTAGCTAACATAAAGGGGCCCCACTTGGGGGGTTCCATTTGGAGTAGATGATCAGGCCTACTGCAGCAGGGATGCAGGTGACAGAGGAACACACACACACACACACACACACACACATCAGGGAGCACAGACCCACGGTCGCTTAGAAAGCTGGAGCCCTGATAGGACTGGAAGAGAGGGAACTATTAAAGATTCCACAGGATTGATCAGTGCCAGCCCCAACTCAGTGCCTACCTCACCACCTGCCCCAGGCTCCCTTGTGCCCAATGAGGAACTGAAAAGCCCTGCTGCAAGGCCCTAAAGGGCCCCCTCAGTCCCAGCTGCCTGCCAGGAAGTGCTAAAGTCTGGTCATCCTCCCTCCCCTTCTGGCTCCCACCCAATTTCTTCCTCCTCTCAGGGCTGAGATTCTCAACTACAGCCAGCTCCTCCCTGTTTCCCCCGGCCTTCCCTGCTGTATACTCCCCTGGACCCAGAGGAAAGCAGGTAAGACAGCCCATCCTGGGTCATGCAGCATAAACCCCTTTCCCTGTGCACCCAGCTCCTCCCATTCCAGCTCCCATAGAGCTTGCCAGGGGAATGGGCACGCTGAGATAGGCCCCCAGGAACAGGTGTGGCTTCTATCTCTGCCACTCAGTCCTGTGGGGACAGGGTCAGTCAGTGCTAAGTGCTCACCCAAGGAGACAGAGGTGATCTCTGGGACCCTATAAGGAAGGGATATTGAAACCGAAGCTTAATGGGCCTCTTGGGAAGCACTGTTGCTGAGGCTTGGGCTCAAGTCGGGAGGGAAGTGGAGAGATAGGGCAGACGGGCCCTGCTTGGTCTAGACATCAGGTCCCTGCAGACCTTTGTGCAGGGGAGGGGGAGCACAAAGTAGATGTGGGGTGAAGAGAGGCCCAACAGCAACATGCTTCCCTGACAGGCAACTCCCTAAAAGAGACCAGGGGTACAGCTCCATAGCCAGGGAAGTTCCCGGCTCCAATAAGCCAGAAAACTTGTCAAATATTCCTTCCTGCTGTTCATTTTCTCCCTCACAGATGATGTCCTCAGACATGGAGACTGAAGATGTCGGTGAGGTGGCCCCCGAGGCCCCACAGCCCACCCACATTGATGTCCACATCACCCAGGAGTCTGTTCTGGCCAAACTCCTGCTGGCCGTATGGTCAACACTACAACTCCCAGCATCTGCCTCGTCCAGGGGTCTGGACAGCAGCAGGTTTCTGGTGGCCTCCTGGGTGAGAGTAGCTACATGCTTCGTGGGCTAGGGAGAGACAGCCAGCCAGGCTAAGGAACGATCTTTTTTCTTGCTTGCCACCCTTTCCTCTCTGCCTAAGATATTGAGCTGGTTTGATCATCTTATTAGAAATCGGTCCAAACTCAGCAACCAGTAGCAAATTAACAGGTGGACCCACTGCTCGAGAGCTGTGTTCTCAAGTCTTCTCTCTTCCAGGTAGTGCAGATTGTGCTGGGGGTTCTGAGTGTGGTTCTGGGTGGAACCCTCTGCATCTGCCAATATTTAGCCATGAATACCTCAGGAGCGCCCTTCTGGACAGGCATCGTGGTGAGTGTGGCAGCATGAAGGCTCCACGGCTGTCAGAGGGATGAAGTTCTCTTCGCTTTCTTCACGCCACCACCATTGATGTGGTGTCAAGAGTGTGTAGCCAAGCAGACCTGACGACGTAGGCCAGTTTGGTGCTTGTGTAGATGACGGGAGTGAGGAAATGGTGACCTGGGCGGTCACAGGCCAACTCTGACTCTTGCCCCATGCTGCTGCCAGCACACTGACAGCCACGCCTCGTCATCAATGACAGTCATCAGTTAGGGCTCTAAGGGTTCACCCATCTCTAATGTCTGCCTCAAGACGGGGGAAGTGGAACATGGCAGGCAGGGAGCATCTCCTACCTCCCTTTACTCATCCGATGGGATCCGACATGCTGTTATCTCTAATGACAGCTGGTTGGGTTGGGCATGGAGGGTAGAGAACTTTCTGACAAGCACACACACTCAGAAAAGCAAAACACACACACACATTCATTGAGAGCAGAGATGAAAGGGGCTGTGCTAATCCTTCCAATGGCAGAAATAGACGGATTAATTCTAGAATAGTCAAATAGGGTCAGGACCCATGTGTCCATGGTGTGCACCAGACTTTCTGTTCTTCTGCCAAAGGGGCCCAATACCAGCTAGTGCAGGTGCCTGGACCCGAGGCTGCCTAAAGTCACATCCTGCATTGACAGCTTTTCTAACAGCTTGAGAGTTTGATCCCCAAGATCCCTGGTCCTTGGAACTTTCATCAGGAATCTGGTGTGCTTTCAAAAGAAGACTGTAGGAAGAGACAAGAAGGTTCACACATGGCTTAACCACGTGCACTTAGGTGTCACTAAAACAGTGTCCTACGCCCTCATCGATGAGCTCCAGGCTCATCGCCCTGCAGTTACTCCACCGCAGACAATGCAGTTAGAATGGTATAGCCCACGTGGCTGGCACTACAGATAAGAGTCACAGGGGAAATATGGCAGGGAATTAATGGACATTTGCCTTTCCTATGCTGACTCTTGTTCATTCTCTCCCCAGGCTATGCTGGCTGGAGCTGTTGCCTTCCTTCACAAGAAACGTGGGGGTACCTGCTGGGTGAGTTTAGGACCAGGCAAGACCCACACTCAACCTCAAGGCTATGCCAGCCGTCCTGCCCCATCATACACAAGCTGGGTAATTCTGAATCTTCAAGGTCTTCCTCTATTTCTTCCTCTATCTAGGCCCTGTTGAGGACCCTTCTTGTGCTGGCAAATTTCTGCATGGCTGTGGCTGCCATTGTTCTTGGAGCTCGTGAGTTCCACACTTACCGATACTATCTCCGAGATGATGTCTGTGTAACCAGATCTTCAGGTTATTGGCCTACCCGGCCCCCCAGCACCCCATCTCCTGAGGAAACTGATAGGATAAGCCTGTGCATATTCTACGTAAGCATGCTAAAGGTAAGTGGCCATGGAGAAGGGCAACTGCAGACACTGGCAGGGAGACAAAGATGGGTGAGAGAAGGTACCCCTCCCCCTAGTCTTGGTGAGTGTTCCTAAAGATGCAGGACTGAGCCAGCCAGAAACTGTCCCCACTGCTGTGGCTGTCACATCCTGTTCAGAAAGGAATACTGCCAGCCACAAGTCACAAGTGACCCAGGGCTGCAAGTGGGGCAAGGGTTACCAACGTGGTAAATGTATGCCCTCCTTGAGGTTGTCACTCATTTCACAACTCAGCTTCTGAGAGAGTGGTAAACATTTCTGGTGAATTCTGCCCCCTGGACCCATGATCTCTCTGTAGTCCAGAAGCTGTAGACTTGGAGATGAGGGTGAGAAAGTGACCCTTGTCGGGAGAGAGAATGGAAAGGGGCAGGACCACGGCCATCACCCCAGCACCCTTGTCTTTGTCATGTGTTCCCAGCCCCTGCTCATCAGTCTCCAGGCAATGCTCTTGGGTGTCTGGGTGCTGCTGCTCCTGGCTTCTCTCACCCCTGTGTGTATTTACCTCTGGAAAAGATTCCTCACGAAGGCGGTAAGTCCCTGAGCTGTGTGTTTGGGGCAGTGGCATGTTCAGATGAGACATCAATGCTTAGGGAAGAAGGGGACCATTATGTGAGTCCTAGGAAGAGTCATGTCTTTCTGTCACATTACACAAGGTCCGTTTGCAACCAATGCCCCTATCCAAAGACCCCAGGAAGCCATTGAAGGCCACATCTATGCCAGGCCTGTGGAGATTTTGTCATACAGTTGAGATTGGCTCTGCCTGGCTCCAGAACTAGCTAGCCTAGAACACAGGACCCTGCTGTCCCTCCTCTCCCTGTCACTAACGTCTTGCCCTGGCCTCTTCCTTAGAAAACAGATGAGAAGAAACTGCTGGGTGCGAATGTGATCTAGCCCTGCCTCTCCCTTGCTCTGGGCCTTCCTCCTTCTGAAGCCTGAAAGAAGAGTCGGACAAGAGCAAATAGACCCTACCCCACTGACAGGGTGTGCCCCTGCCTAGCTCCACCCAGCTTCATTGTCGCTCACAGCAGCCCTCACTCACTCATTTCTCTCCACCTTCACCATCCCGTGTTCCTTCTCAGGCAGTGGCTTGATAATAAAGTCTCATGGCATTGGCTGCAGATTCTTGCGTTGTCACTCCAGAAAGTTCTCATTGGCTGGGAGGCAGGGCAAGGTGAGGACAGCAAGCCTACAATGCGCCCCACATAGCTGCAACCTCCTACTCAGGTCTAGACTCACATAACCTGAAAACAACTGACTGGGGGTGCTGGGTGTGGGAGAAGAGACTCTGTCCCCCAGATTCTGATATAAGAAGATGGGTGTCTGGCAGTTGAATGGATGGCTTCTTATTTTCACTGTTGAGCAAAATCAAGACACAGACAGCATAAAACCAAGATACAAACATTTCAGAAATCTCATTTATTTATTTTTGGGCTGTTTAAGATAGAGACTTGCTATGTAGCCCAGGCTGAACTTGAATTCATGATTCTCCTGCCTCAGTCTCCTGAGTACTGGGATCACAGATGTGTACTGCCATCCTGGCTCTGAAAACTTTTTTTTCAAGCTAGTGATCCAATGATATGGTGAGATAAACCCCAGATTAATTATCCCATAAAAATACCTAAAACTAGACAGCGTATGACTCATATATTTAAAAATTGTGTGTGTGTGTGTGTGTGTGTGTGTGTGTGTGTGTGTAAAAATAGTATAAAGATAATAAGAACAACCTCAAAGGCCATAATAAAGGCAGGGGGATGGATCCAGAGAGCTGAGTCTTGAGGTGGTCTTCTGTCAATGTCCCATGAGCACCTGCACATTTGGGGTTCCTCCCGAAGGGCCTAAGGGATCAGCATGTGTCTGTATTCATGGATAACCTAGACCATCAAGAGGATATACCCCAGAATTAAGGCCAGGAAGACATTCTAGGTGGGCTCTAGGGAAACCCAACATTGCTTCTGATATTCCCCTCTGGTGAGAGGCCACCCAGATGCAGGCCTGCTTCTGCCAGAGGAGCTCTTGTAAGGTTAGAAGATGGATTTTCCTGAAGGCTGGACACTGGGGTGCCCTCT